GGATAAGCCCGTGTACCTTCCGTGGCCATTGTTCCTTCGCGGATGAGACGTGGTCGCTGCGAAAAACGCGTGGACGGAGCGGCGGAAGGGAACGCGCGACGTCGATGGGTACCGCGGACGGATAAAGTGGAACAATCGCGCGTAATCGTACGCAATCTATAGGAGAAAGTGGGCTAATGCGAGCCGCGGATAGAGCCGGGACGCACGACGTCTTTGTTCGCCGGTGATTTCAGCTACCCGGCTTCGCGGACACCGGGCTCTGCAGATACAATAGAGGAGGAGATACGGTAGAGCTCCATTTACCTGAACCCGTCCGCGAACAAATGGTTCATATAATACGAGTTCACCGATTCTCTCCGCTACCTATCACGCTAGACCTCCATTCATCTGAACTCCATTTACTGGAACGAAATTTCAGTTCGAGATGACCGATTAAGCGAACCCCTGCTCGTTGTCTGAAACTTCTGTTGCCCGGACGGCAGTTATCCGTTCCTCTAAATAGAGATAAATCGCTGGTATAGACGGAGTTCTCGCAGCGGGAGCTTTTCGCTTCCGAATTCTGTAAATCCGACCAGATCACCTTGACCGTGTCTGCGAATTTTCGCGGTTAAGGCAGTCCAGATACATCGACTGGACGATGTCGAAGCGATGGAACAATGGCTGGAGGATTCCAAGATCCTTCTTGCCACGGATGCAACTCCGATGCAGTTCAGATGCAACTCATATACAGCGAAGTTGCATCTCCTCCGTGGAGTCGGGGAGACGGTTCGTGTTCGCACGCGAAGGCAAAGCGAGCAGAGATGGCGTCGGTTTGATAATAGAGATGCCTCGGTAGATGGGAGTTTTTAAAGCATTTTGCTCGTTACGGGGTTCGCGATGAGCAAGTGTCAGGATAACTGGAGATGCATCGGTCGGTGTTGCCGGGATAGGTTGCGTAAACTTTCAGCGAGCATTCGTGTTAGATGGGAAAGCGGATAGCTTTGTCAGACCCGCTGATGTCTTTTTTTCACCATTCGAGCGAGTACGAGTCTTTGACCAGTCGTTAAGTTCGATGGTTATTAGGTTTGCCGAGGTACTTTCGTGTTGGGAATTAACAAGTGTGCATTTTTATGCGATATTTTATAACGCTCGTGCGGCAGATCGAGTTCGTTGAATCAACTTCGTACAATCGGTGCTTTACTAATGCTTATGACCGTTAAGAATGTGAAAGTAACGATAGCCTTGTTTAAATATACTCTGCTAATTTTGTTGCAGTTTTAATACGCAGCGATAACGCGCCGGAGATTATTTAAGAGGCGGCATAAGCATTCCACTTTCTACGATTTACTTTTTCGACGAGAATGCTAATAGCGGAATTACGAAGACGGGGTTCTTCAGCAACGTCTCGGTTTTACATTTCACCAGAGCTAACCGCTATAAGCATTCTTCTACTCGATTAAGGAACACGCAAATTACGATACGTTATTGTTACTCGCCTCGGTCGTAAAGCTAAAAGCTGTCGAGTGTCGGTGAAACGATACAGCGATAAAGATATAATAGAATATCACGACGAGGTCATGAACAATCGGTACGAAATCTAGGAATCATAGATACGCGGCGAAATATAAATGCTATTTCCATTTTTCGCTGTCATGTTCGCAACTTCCTACCACCATTTGACCAACCCTCTCGCGACACCCTCGTCCGTCCTAACCGGATTTCACTCGCTGTCTCGTTCTAACCAGTTTCTCGTAAATCGCGTAATCCAATACGAGGATGTATATTCGCACGTACGCCTTTCCTCGCCGAGCCGAGCCGAGCCGAGCCGAGCCGAGAAGACGTAGGAGGATTTCCTCGAGCGAACGCGTCGCTCGCCCAAGTGCCACTGGTTGAGGCGTAACGAGCTCGACGTCGAAATGCTTGACTTGCTTCGCGGAAGCAATAAAGGCTTTTAACTGGTTTCTTTTGTACGCGTGTGCTTAACCTTTGCACCGAACCGTACACAGTGTCCGTGTCTCGCGGTGCCCTGAACCGTGATTTATTTTCAGCCGCAGAGGAGACGAGAAAAAAGGGAGATATCCGGCGCGATAGCGATGCAATCTGTTCTGAAAGCAGGCAGTACGAGGGAAGAAAGAGATAAATATACTAAAAGAATGAAAAAGAGAAAGGAACGGAAATTATCGCACGACCTGGACCGGATAAAGCGAATTTCGTATTTACGTACAGCTCGTTGCCACTAAGATGGCCGCTGGGGCGAGTGGATAGTATTAAAAATGGCGGAAACTAGGTGTTAATCGGCCGCGACTCGACAGACGCGATTCTTAAAGCGAAAATTCTACAGCGTTCTGTAAAAATGGCGGCGCGATAGCGATGCAATCTGTTTTGAGAGCAATCGGTACGAGGGCAGAAAGAAAGAAATATATTAAAAGAAAGAAAAATAGACAGAAACGGGAATTATCCCACGACCTGGATCGGATAAAGCGAATTTTGTATTTACGGTACAGCTCGTTGCCACTAAGATGGCCGCCAGGGCGAGCGGATAGTACTCAAAATGGCGAAAACGAGGACTCGGTAGGCCGCGGTGCGACAGTAAATCTCGCGAGGCGAAAATTCTACGGTGTCCCGCAAAAATGACTGCTCTAACAGTATATCGGGCGCGTGAAACGTGCGCGGCTAATTCGATGGAAAACGCCGGTTGATTATGCGCGGACGATGATTACGCAGGGAATAGGAAAGCGGAGTGGAGGCAAAAAGGAAACGGAGACCTCGCTGTTGCTCTTATCGCTAATTTCAATCCCGCCGTGGGCAGGAAAATCGTAATGCTACTTTATGCTTCCCTCGTACTGGGAATCATGCTCGAGCGATGCTCGAACGCGCAGGAAACCCGCTGCTGCGATGTATTCCCGCGAACATCGTATCGCTTTCCTTCTCGTGCGCCGCCTATTCGGCCCCGATTCGTTTTTCTTTCGTTGCGAGCGTCCAATTGATGAATTTCACCTGGCGTTCGTAGAAAGGAGGAAACCGAAGACAGGACTGAAAAGCGAGAAAGTGTGGCTGTCTGCAGTGGGCCGCGACGAGCCTCGTATCACTCGAGTGGGATATCGCAAGTGCTAGATTCGTATGCTCGTTACGACATACCTGGGAACGAAGTAGATGTCCGAATCGGGTACGCCATGTTTCCGGATGCAAATATAATTCGAATTCGACGAGTCCGGACAAATCGTGTCACCGTTCAGGAAACTATGGATAGATTAGTTGTCCTCAGTGATCGACGCGCCGAGCCACTCGGTTAGCGAACCACCATACCGATCCTGGAATCCCGATTTCTCTGCGACGTTCTAGGATTCGTCACGAGTCGTGGTACCTGGAACACGTAAGGTGTTAGCTCGAAAGTCTAGAAGATCAAAGTGTTAGATTCGTATAATCGTTACGACATACCTGGAAACGAAGTAGGTTTCCGAATCGGGTACGCCATATTTCCGGATGCAAATATAATTGGAATTCGACGAGTCCGGACAAACCGTGTCATCGTTCAGGAAACTCTGGATAGATTAGGTGTCCTGTCCAGTGATCGGCGCGTCGAGTCATTCAGTTAACAATCCCGATTTCTCTGCGACATCCTAAGATTCGTCACGAGTCGTCGTCGTGGTACCTGGAAAACGCAAGGTGTTAGCTGGAACGCCTGGAAGATCGACTTACTGGGTCACGGAATCGTGGAAGGCACCACGAGCTCCACCGCTAGGGTCCACCGAGGCTCATCCAGCCATGGAAACCTTCACGGTTCACGGCACACTGGCTCGTATCCCTAGGAATACGAGCTTCGAGAGGGTTGTCGAGCGATAGTCTTCGAGCTTCGGAATTCAAAGCTGAAGGAAGCGACGGGAGACTGGCACAGGGTCGCGAGACCTCGAGGTCGTGGAACCAGCCGCGGGCCACCCCGAGGATGGGGAACCTCGATCTCAGGGACCCTGGGGTCATGGAACGTGCCTCGACGATTTCCCCGGGCTCACGATGGTGCAAGGCGTTTGGATTCCGATGGTGCAAGGCGGATCCCATGATCCAGAGGTCAGGCATCTGGAGGTACCGCGACCCCGGTGTGGTCCGCAGCTGGTGTCACGATTTCAGGGTGGTCCGTGGCGCATTCGACGATCCTGTCGCGTGTTCCCTGGCTAGGTCCACGGTTCTTGGACTCTTTAGACTCGGAGGTCAGGCGTTTCGAGATTCCGTGTCGCCGATTTCTCTGGAATTTAAACGAATTTTCTTTTCATCTTCTTCTGCCAATCGCGAGAATCGTTTCGCAAGGCAGAATCCTAGGGATCTCGGACGTGTCAAAGAGTTTCACCGCGAGGACGACGCGGTGGGTCGTGACGTGTTCGACGATTCTGGGGCGCCGAAATAATTATCCGGAGCCTTTAATTTTTTCGTCGACGATTTATACGTCCCGAACTTTAATGTGCTCTTTAATAGCGTTATTATGCACCGTGTGCTTGTAGATGCATAACTTAATCTACCATTGGTCGGCGCGAAACAAGACTTTTGGAAGATCGGCTTCGATAACGGTACCTGGTCGAAACGTAATTTAAAGGCCATAAATCGATCTGCGTGTTGGCTTCCGGGTACTTTCGAATATTCGTACACTTAATAACCATACATTCGGCTGTACACTTTACACGCTTTCGAAACCCGCGGATGATACTAATTTGGCACTTAACGTTATCTGATTTATATACTCATCTGTCATTCCCGGTCGAAATTCAACGTTGAACGACAGTATTTAAATGATCGCGGTTTTACAACCGCGTAAAAGGATCTTTCGTTTAAACGGTACACGACTCTCGTTACGTTACGATAACGAACCGTATTGCTATGGTGTTTTCGCTTCGTTACCCGGCAAACGTCTGTATCCCATTCATGCGAAATCTGTGCCACCGTGCCAGTCGAATTCCTCGTTTTTCGCGCGATAAAATCTACGAAACGTTCGTACAGCCGGTAAGCTTGCAACGAATCTCTCTTAATTTCAGGTACTCCAACGAGATATAGAGGCGCATGGTCGAATCGTCAGTTCGGTCGTGAAATTGGGCGACAAGGTATTTACTCAGCAACAGGAGCAGCAACAGCAGCAGCAGGAAGGACAGGAGGAAAAGAAGCAACAGGAGCAACAGGAACAACGGGAACCGCCACAGGCTTTACGAATAGCCAGGTCTCTCGAACGTCGATGGCATTTGCTGTTTCTACGAGCTTTGGAATGGCAGTGTCACATCGAAACTCTCGTGTCTCGCATAAGCAGCAAGGTGAGCTCGTATTTCTCTCTGTTCGCCATTCGAATTTCCGATTTTTAAATCTCTTTCCACTCGAATCTTCCTTTTCACGTTTCTCAAGCTTCCCTGCGTCTCGGAGTGCTCGCACTAACGCTTAAGTGGCGAGTGTTGTAATACGCGAACCGTGTAACGTGTAACAGCGCGTTCGAGAAAAGGAGGCACAACGTATTTACATCCTCGCGGCTGATAATTTCCGCTGGCACTCTCACGATGACAGACAGTGACCGCTATTGGCCGAACATGGCGACGGTGATCGTTTTGCGTCACCGTTTTCGACCAATAGCGAGCGGAGTTAATCAGCCGTGAGAATGTAAACACGCGATGCCTTCTTTTCTCGAACGCGCAATACTCGAACGGTTGCCGGGGTGAACCTCTTACACGCTGGAAGCTTAATTCGAGCGATCGCGGGTAGCCAAAGCAGGACTCGGGTTTCGCGTTTGCGGTCTCTCGCGATTACTTCGGATTTTTACGAACGCTGCCTACGTGCTGGTTATAAAACTGTATTTTTAAACGAGCCTCGTAGAGTACCGCGAACGCGGCCGAGATGTTTGTAATTCTCGAGAACGATCCTTCTCCGCGCGTCGACTAATCGCGAAAAATATTTGCGGATGATCGCATCGTCCCGGTTGTACCTCGTTCAAATATTATCCCATCGTTCATTCCGAATTTAATGCTTCCATGGATATGCACGTGGAAGAGAAATAAAACGCGGCGAATAATAAATATTCAATTTGCTTGAAACAGAGATAGAGATTTACCGACACCGAGCACCGATTTTCGTTCAAATCGAATCCGGCGTTCACGCTTGCACGCGGCTCATTATTCGCTGTAATTGCACGAAACGGCGATTTGTTTCCCGCAGCTGAGAGAAGCAAATGTTAGAATAATATGCGATTAGAATTGCAAAAATGGATACTTCGGGGATGGAGAACGAGGAGTGTTGTGAGTCTGTAACCGACGACTCCTGAAATCGGCACGAGATCGACGTTGCTTCGCGTTAATTACAACGAAACGCATTAATTTTCACGTTTGTCCAGAGTTAATCGCGGTTCGTTGCCGGTTTGTCCGTGTTTTGTTCGCGATCGTTCGATAATTGACTAATTAGCGGTAACGAGGCGTTTTTCCCTGGTGGTCAGGATCGCTGCACCTCCGAGTACGATCCTTGGTCTTTTCACACCTGCGAGAAATTTGCGTAGACGCGATCGTTTTGGATAAACGCTGTCCCGATCAATCTCTCCACACCTGTCCACTCAGCGGAATGCCGCTACTGCGTGTGCGTTTACGCGCGTTCTAGGTAATTTAGCCATTCACAGGGGATTTATGGGTCAAGAGAGAAAGAGACGTCTCAACCGCTCGGACTTGATTACCGAATGTCGAATTTATTAACTTCTCGCTTTTAATTTGTACGTTTCGACGTTGAAATAACAGTGGTCGCTGAAACTTCTCGATCTATACTGTTGTTAGATCTTGGGTTTAATAAAAATGGCGATTATATAACGCGGTAGGTCTTCGTCTTCGAAAAGTCGCGACTGCTAAATACCGATTTTCTTATCGATTTTCCCTTTTAATTTATGACGATTACATAAATTTTCCAATTCTAATTTTTATTAAATTTCCTGCAAAAATTCTTCTCCCGAGAAGTATATCGATACCGCTGTATCACGCGGAGTCTCCATTTTTGAATATCAAATCTTCGAGATTTTCAAATATCAGCTATATCAAATTTCCGCTTTCAATTTATAACAGACGTTTGCACATCGAAATGCAGCGATTACATAAATTTTGGGATGCATATTTTTATTAAATTTCGTACAAAATTTGCTCTCCCGAGAAGCCAGTTGATACAGCTGTGCCACGTTTCCGTCTTTGAATAACCGAGATTTTAGAACATCGATTCTATCAAATTTTTGCTTTCAATTTGTAACAGACGTTTGCTCATCGAAATGCACCGATGGTACAGATATTTCCGTCTATATTCCTGTTTAATTTCGCTGCATCTCGATAACGCGACGGACTTCCATCTTTGAAGAGGCGAGATTTATGAACACTTATAAAAATTCCTCTCCTTTAAATCAGACGTTTGAATGACCAAAATTTTCAACTCGTACGAAAATCTTCGAAGAGATATCTCGACGTGAACGTAAGAAAATGACACGAAGTGTGGAGATTTTGTACAGACATCGTGCAATCAGACCCAACGAGCTCGTTTAATCGAATTACGCGGACGCTAATTACCTTCTCCACTGACTCAACGATATCTCTCCGAGTTGTAAACATCGGAACGAGCATTTTCACTGACTCTACATCCAGTTGCATATTTTGCAAACACGCATGCGACAGTCGTAAAGTGAACGATGACAGTGGACCACCTATACGAGCACTGCGTGGACTGCAGGCGAGGACTTCTCGGGGACCTCGTCGGAGATTTCTCTGCCGACGTTGGCTACACCTTTGGTATCTCTGGTACCACTTGTGGAAGGTAGCGCGAGACCAGCGTCGGCCATCGGAACCGCGTGTCCACGCGAGAGAACAAACGAATGCACGCTATTAAAAAGATTTCACGACGTTCGGCATTGTCGGCCATTAACTCGCGATCGCGTAGCGAATGGGGTCCCTCTTCATCCGCGTGAAAGTCCGAACAGCGTCGGCCATTAAAATTTATTAATTCCACGCCACGACGCGCGATTCGTCCCAATTTTTCTGCCCTTTTTTCTTTTCCCTTTTCTCCCTCCTCTTCAGCGTCGCGTCGGACGACCTCGAATTTATGCAGCAAACTCGCGTCTCGCCGAATCTCTTACGCCTATTACGGCAAGGTACACACACCCGAGGATCTGCGAGGATCGCGCAAGAAATTTCGTGTTTATTTTCCCGATTAACGCGCGTGGCCTGAGTGAGATCTTCGACCGGTTTCTTAGATCGGTTCGTAAGTTAACGAGATGATTGGCTCTCGCGGTGGTTCCGTAATTTTAGCGCAACGAGGAAGTCTATTGGCCTCTGTGTAGGAGGCTCGTAAGCGAATATGATAATGCCTCGGTGTTCGTCGCGCAGTTTTAGTAGTGGGTGTTCGCGAACGAGGCGAGATTTGCCTGGCTTCGAGCGTGTCTTGTTCGGTATGATTAACAGGCGTCGGGAAATTACCGTTTTTGCGTCTCCCGCCATTTTTCGCTCGCGAGTACACGGCCCGTTCTTCGCTAATATCCCACCTCGAAACGATATTTTTATCCGACCGCGTCCATAATAACGCGACGAAATTCCTCAGCCGTGGAGAAATCGATAGCGAATAGGTATAAATCTCGGTGGCGTTGTCTCGAAATTCTGCCAATGTCACGACTCCGAGAGATAAAAGCGTATCGCGAAATCGCGAAATTCAGATCCGCATAGTAGATTAGCACGGAACTCGGTTTGGTCTCGTTAGAGCGATCGCAAATTGCTGTATTATAAGCGTCGGAGCGATCGGTGGTGAAATAATGGCGTTCAAGTTATCGACACTTGGGATCGTCCGTGGTTTAATTTAACACCGAGCAGTGAAACGAGAAATTTGATGGGATCTTTAGGTACCATTCGCTACCAACTTACTACCCCTAAATTTCGTTCGAGATCTCGTGTACCTGAAAGTAACTCGGACATTTTTGAATCATCGTTAATGGCACGACGCAATGGGTCGTCTAAGGTCTATAAAATCCTAGCTGAAGGGTTCGACGAGACACTTTTTGATAGTCCACCACACACCGTCTGTATCACGCATCGTAGAAGACTTGGAGTTGTATTAATCCGATTAATCCGATCCTATTAACCTGATCTTTATTACAGATCAGAAGTGGGATTCGAATCCACGCCCACAGAGTGGACTGCGATTCTGATTGTAGTTTATATTTTTTAGTGGTATGAAATAAACGGAGGCTCGAGGTCTTCTACGATGCGTGGTGCAGGCAGCGGACTGTCAAAACGAGGTGCGTCGTCGAACCCTTCGGCAAGGTTTTATAGGCTCTATGACAACCCATTGCGTCACTCAACCCAGCTTCGAGAATTGATAAGCTCTGGATGGTTCCTGGAAGCAAAGATAGATCTCGATGCAGGGTGACGCGAAATAGATTCCTCTCACGCCATCGACGTGAGAATCTTTCAAATTGACATCGTACTGCATACCGATTGGAACTCGGCTATCTTATCTCGGCTCGATATCTCGAATTAGCATTCCAAAGATCAACACACGGCTTATCGATAAACCAGGAAGTTTTTGTACATAACCGGTTGTACATTGTTCTACGGGCAGTTCACTCGTTACATATCGTAAGAAACGTACGATTTCGAGGGTTCTTGACACGAGGTAGGAAGCATTCTCGCTTTCCTCGGTGTCGATGACCGGCTTATTTAGGCTTCAGTCGAGATACGTTTCAGTGGATCCGTTGTCATCCAAGTATCGATGATCGTTTACTTAGTTTTGGGCCGAAATACGTTCGGAGAATTGCTCTCGAACACGATTGACAGGAATAGTCCTCGATGTCGGCGACCTTTTCGTTTAGAAGATAAGGACACGGAGAGAAGACTACTCATAGAGGCGAGATACCTTTCACGTTTATCTTCTCTCGTATATTAAACTTAAAGATGGCTGAAATTTGTTCGGATCCCCACACACGCCAACTATCTATCCTTGGCACCCTTGCGATACCGATTGCCGTTGGCTGATATCTCGGAAACTGGTAGATATTCCGAGGTAAAATTTAGAATCCTTCGCAATTATTTCTTTGACACGGGGAATTGTAGAGTTAGATAACGTATCTCCCGTAAATAAGCGTTATAATTGGCTCTGGACTGACGAACGGATGCCGACAAGCGTATCCTTCGCGGACGTCTAAGAGAGCTACTCCTCTGACTCTCATGGTCTCTAACTCTTATCTCGATATCCGAGCCTGGTGTCTAACATCCGCATCCGCCCGCGGTCCTAGAATCTCGCCGATCTCTTCCTAGAAATC